GCTCTAGGACCGATTTGTTTGTCCTTTTGGCTTTCCATGGGATCCTCAACCCTCTTCTCCAGCCGCACATTCTTCAAATACATTGATTTTCCTCCTATCCTCTTCCTTGACTGTCCAGCTCTCACATCCATCTGTGGGAATAGGGAATATGATGGCTTGTATGATTCTAACTTTTGTGCTGAGTTGTAAATCTTTGCATTTTAGGATCTTTTCTAGTTCTTCCATAGCCATCCTCCCCATTCTTAGTCTTCTTCTGATTTCCTGACTGCAGTCCCTATTTTTATCAATGTTTGATCCCAGGTATCGGAATTCTTTTACTATTTCTGTTTCCTCATTGTCTAGGTTAAAGTTGTGAAGGTCCTCCTCGGTGGTCCTTATTTTTGTTTTCTTGATATTCAACAATAAAGAAAGCCTTTGCACTTTCTTCTTGGATCTTCCTTAGTAGGTGTTCCAGGTCTGTGAGGTTTTCTGCTAGTATTACGGTGTCATCTGCATATCTTAGATAGTTGATATTCCTTCCTCCTGTTTTCACTCCTCCTTCTTCCATGTCCAAACCTTTTTTCCTTACAATATGTTCTGCATACAACTTGAACAGATTGGGTGAAAGAATGCAGCCTTGTCTGACCCCTTTGCCAATTGGGAACCATACTGTGTTCTGTTCTAACAGTTGCCGCTTGTCCTGAGTACAAATTCCTCATCAGGACTATCAGATGGGTTGGCACTCCCATGTCTTTAAGGGAGTTCCATAGCCTTTCATGGTCTGTGCAATTTGCTATAGTCTATAAAGCATATGCTGTCTTTAGGGGTAGTAAATTGCCGCTGGATCTTAGTGCGAAATTCAAAGCATCACTTCAAGGCACTGAGCCTATTTGGGGGATTAGGTAGGTTCACTCCCTGCCATGGCTCCTTTAAAGTTCAAATTAAGAGTGGACTAGCCGCCCTGCTGCCCTCATAGCCATTGCATTGACTCTTTTGGCTTGCACAGCAGGGGTGGCCACTCTTTCAGCCTTATGGGATATAACCAATTTTTCCTGTTAGTTTTTCTTCATTGCTAAAGCTTCAAAGGCTACTTGCATAGCCTGATGCAAGCAGAAGCCCAGGATAGGGTTGTCAAACTGGAGAGTGCTCCTAAATCTGAATGGTTGTGTTGTTGTTGTTGTTGTTGTTGTGCACCTTCAAGTCATTTCCGTATTATGGTGACCCTAAGGTGGACCTAACAGCACATTTTCTTCCCCAGATTTGTTCAGAGAGGATTTACCTTATTATATCCAATGGGGAGTAGCTTATTTCCAAGAGAGAGTTTGTTGGAAAGTTTTTGGAAAAACTGCATCTTAGATGTTGGTTTTTGGAGTCGCTACTTAGCTGGAATATACAGTTTACTACTACTGATGAAGATATGTCGAAATGGCTTCAAAAACACTCCGGAGGTAGTAGTCTTTCTGCTACCACTGCTATCCATTCACAATCCACTGCAACCATTAATGTGTGGACTATGGTCTATGACTTGTGGAAATATATAATAATAATAATAATAATAATAATAATAATAATAATAATAATAATAATAAGAAGAAGAAGAAGAAGAAGAAGAAGAAATTTTTATTTATAAGCTGCCCCTCTGCACGGCAATCGGGGCGGCGAACAACATATTAAAACAAGGAACAGTTAAAATATACCCAAATCCCATGCCCTAACCCTCCCACCCTTTAAAAAAGAATTAAATTAAGAAGAAATTAAAACCATACATTAAAACATACGTTCCACGTTCGTCTGCTACCTGTCTCCCATTTCGGGAACAATTTGCCATCTACTGCTTGTGGAAATCTTTTTTACTGAAACAGAGGTTGTCAGGACCAGAGGAAGCGCATGGACATAGTTCGGGATATATAGTTCACTACAGCACTTTGTATGATCTATTCTGCATTTGACAGTATTACTGCAATGTGGTTACTACTTATAAATATATGATCATGGTATATATGGTTTTATTCCTTTGGCACATCGTTGTGATATAGTTCATTATATTGTCAGTTTCTCCCTGCTATTCTTTCTGTGTAACTGGGGATCCAAATACTCTTCAAGGGCAGCCCCAGACATTACTGTAGTCTAATTGAGAGACTAATAAGGCATCAGTGTGACCAGATGTTCTAACCGCAAAGGAGGACAAGGCACCACAAAATGTAGGACACTCACGAATAATGTAGGGCATGACAAAATAAAACTGAAAAACACTAATCTAAATATGAATTAATGCCATGTCGTTTATTTGCAGCTATATTGCACATACTGTATTTTATTATGTGTTGTAGTTGCGTGCCTCCAAGTTGTTTATAACTTATGGCAACCCTAAGGCAAACCTATAATAGGGATTTCTTGGCAAGTTTCTTCACAGTGGGTTTGGCATTGCCATCCTCTGAGGCTGAGAGAGTGTGACTTGCCCAGGGCCATCCAGTGGGTTTACATGGCCAAGCTGGGATTTGAACCCTGGTCTCCAGATTCATAGTCCAAGTCTCAACCCACTGGACCACACTGGCTCCCCTATTTTATTGTGTAGTCAACTGTATCTTTCTGATGAACTTCCCTTTGTTAAAATGCCTTGTTGGCTTGCAATATAGAACTCTGAGCAAGACAAAGGCTCTAAATTGTCCTTTATTAGCAATAAACGCTTGGATAAATATCTACATTGAAATTATTCTTTTCATTTGTCCATTCTGCTGAATGTAAGGAACAAACCCTTGCAACATTTGCATTGTGTCCTTCTCCACCACCTTTTCCCCCACACTCCTCCTTTTTTCCCTTTTTTCTTCCTCCTCCCCTCTTCCTTTCTTCCACTTCCTTTTCTCTTCTTCCTCCACCTCTTCCTTCTTTCTGCTATTCCTTTCCTCCTCTTTGTCAATTTCTCCTCCTCCTCCTCTTCACAAACCTCTTCC